GGATAAAATGATTTTAAATAAAAATAAATTAATAAATGTGGGAGGGAAATTATGAGGTGTCTACCTAAAGGATTTTGTCAGATGGAGAGCTTTATCCTGTTCTAGTTAGGAAACTACACTAGCTGCCCAGAACAGACTTTGGTCTAGATGGGTATAAATTTAATGAATAAAAATAAAATAAATAAATTCCTTGCTGGTGAAATATGCAATAGAACAATCACCTGCTAAAGCTCTCTTCCTGAATAAGCAGAGAATGTTTTTATGAGATTGTTTTTCAAAACTAATTGAATGTAAAACAATGACTACAAAACCAAAATACAAGTGAGTGTTTCACAAGATTGTGTAGATGTTATGAACAGAAGCACTGCTTTGATTGATGCCTAGCCTTTTAAAAGCCAAGCAGTGGTTGCCTGAACTTTTCTTCCACATCAAAAGGATATAAAAGCAGCAAAGTATAAAAGAAACTCAGGGGAAAGGCTTAGGTTTTGGCGGCTTAAGGCGAAGAATGAATCTGAATAGTTAGAACGGGATCAGGAAAAAAGGGAAGATGGTTCCACTTGTCAGTCTCTGACGGTCTCAAGCCCATTGGTCTGTTCCTCTCAGGTGAACGGACAAGAGCCCCATCCTTCTGTCTTCCCTGTTGGAGATGAGACTTGGTTGGTTTCCCTTTGTAGCATTTTTTTGGTCTGTGCCTCTCAGGTGAACGGACAGCTTCACATTCCTTTCTCCCATCTCAGCCTTAGGATCCTTCTGTCTTCCATGTTAGAGATGACACTTGGTTGGTTTCCTTTGTTGCATTTTTTTTCTCCGGCAGATGCTCACTTGGGAGTGTCTTTGCTTTGCAGAGCTTCAGTCACATCGTCTGTTAAGGAACTTATTTACTCAGCAGGACGCGAGTGGTTCGAGGACTGCATTGGAAGTATTGTTGAGTACAGAATAAAATGGCAGACCAACACACTCCTTTCCCCAGAGCAGGAAGAGACCCAGATATTATCCAGGTAACTAGCCTTGGGACGTGCTCTGAAAGAACGGTGGAGAAGGTCCTAGATGAGGAGATGCCCAGCTCAGATACGCAATGCCAGAAATTCAGGGAATTCTCCTCCAAGGAGGCTAATGGTCCTCGAGAGGTTTGTACTCGACTCCACCACCTTTGCCGTCAGTGGCTCAAGCCAGAGCGACACACAAAGGCTCAGATCCTGGACCTGGTCATCTTGGAGCAGTTCCTGGCCATCCTCCCCCTGGAGATGTCGAGCTGGGTGAGAGAATGTGGAGCCGAGACCACTTCCCAAGCGGTGTCGCTGGCAGAAGGTTTCCTGGATCTGAGTCAGGCAGAAGAGAGAAAGCAGGAAGATCTAGAGGTGAGAGTAATCCATGCCAGAGACTTAGAATCTGAAATGGGGAGCCCATGACCCCTGCACTCGCTCCCTGTTTGAGGCTGTTCTGCTGGAATTTATTCTTTATGGTCCTTGAAAAGAATAACCACCCCCAAGATTGGGGAGACCCTCTTCCACTTTAAAACAAGGTGCATCCTCCTCATCTGCATAGTTTTCCAAGTAAATTTCAGGTTTACCTCTACCCTTGGCACTGCACTCAATCTAGCCCTGTTGTAGGTGCAGTGACACAATATGATGCCTTTCGGTGGGTTCCGGTGGGGATGGCCCTTTTCTACTCAAAAGGGTCAAGAAAATGAGAGTAGAAATCTACAAATTTTACTAATTGCCAATATTTTTCTTAGAAAATCAGTGGAAGATGTCCCTTCTCTTCGAAATCCCAGCCTAATCTGCTGAGATCTTTTCCTCTTTCTTTTCTTCTCTACCTTCTTATTGCATGTGACGGATCCTCAGATGGGAAATCTCTCTGTAGAAGATCAGTCTGATTTCCCCAGAGCAGAGGAATCTCAGTTTGACACCAGACAGGATTCTCAGCAGGAAGAGATCACTCAAGGGAACGAAGGAGGTGTCAGCTTTATAGGTGAGGCTTTGGGCTAGAAAGGCGTGTTTTTCCCCCCTGTGGGAAATGTTTATTCCGTGACTTTTCAACTGGGGATGGAGTGACATTCTTCTTTTGTTCTTTCTTTATTTCAAACCTACCACTTTAGTTTTTCAGTTTTCTGAGACTTATTATATAGCAGCCAGTTCCTTTGTTTCTGTCAAGAAGACCATGTGTGAAAAGATGCATTTCTCCCATGAAAACCTCTCAGATGTAAATTTGGGATTGGGAGGGATGTTCCCATTATGATAGGGTATAGTAGTAGCATCTCTCCTTGTTGCTCCTTCACTCTTCATTTTTTTTCTAATTCCCTTTTTATATAGTGTTTATACAATATTTTGATCTAACTCCTTTCCACGTAGATTTTACGTCATTTTTGATATAGCACCTTTTGGTCAAACTCCGGCTGTGATTCTGACTGATGTTGAGATCATGGTTTCTGACATTGATATATAGGTGTTGCCGTAAGAAGTCCAAAGAATTCTGCCTTTTTATATATATAAAAAAATAACTCATCTGATCAGGAAAAGAGACACCATCTGAACAGTCTATCCCTGGTCTGAACTCCCAGCATGAACAGAAAAGTTTCTAAAACATAGCAAAGGGGAGTTCAACAACAGCTAGGAGACAAATATGTGAGTCTGAAAGAAGGCAATAGAAATGAGACACCCAGGAAATTTGAATTTCCCACCCTTTTCCCCTGCCTTTTTTCCTTTGGAGTTCGAGTCTCCATTCGCAGGTCGAAGCCCCTTTTTCAAATGGAGTCATTCATAACTCGAATTGTTTGCAACTAGGGACGTTCGTAAGTCGAGGTCCCACTGTACACTTAGGTGCTAATGATGGAAGTTTATAGACCCACTTTCATTGGGTTATTAGATCCACATGATTATATACTGGGGGAACATTGTCGAAAATCCAAATATAAAATATGCAGTTAGACAGGGTATTGCTTTGCTCAGTTCACAAAAAAGAGGGATCGCCTAATATAGTGGGGTCTCGACTTACGAACGACCCTTCTTGTGAACAATTCATCTTACGAACCCGCCCTATAGGGAAATAAGGACTCGACATGCGAACTTCCCTCGAGTTACAAACAGGAAAAAAGTGCCCCCTCCCTCCCCTTAGAGGCTTCTGGAGGGGAAAAAAAGGTCAGAATCTTAAGAATAAATAAAAGAAAGTCTCTTACCAGGCCTTGGTAGCCCTGAAACAGCAGGAAAAAGAGCAGGAAACAGCTAAAAGCCCACACCAGAAGGGAGCCTGGCAGCCATTTTGTGCTTTCCCCGTCCCCGCTCCTTCCCCCTCCTCTCCCCGCTTATCAGCTGATCGGCTGGCTCTGAAGAAGCTTCGGGAGGCTTGCTCAGCAGCTAAAAAGTCTGCTTGTGTGTCTTTGTGCTGAAAAAATCAGCACAACATGCTTTAAAACATGATTTAAAATTGGCTTCATTGAAAAAAAAAAGATTTCAAAAGTGCTTTGCAAACTGTTCCCTGCCTCTCCCCTCCTTTCCTGAACCTAAGGGAAAAAAAGAAAAAATATCCCCCTCTAGTGGCAGAAGGCAGAATAGCAGCTTCCCATTAGTTTCTATGGACGGAAAAGAGCAGATACGGATTAAATAGTTTTCAATGAATTCCTATGGGAAAGGCAGATTCGACCTACGACCTTTTTGACCTACGAACCACCTTCCAATACGGATTAAGTTTGTAAGTCGAGACCCCACTGTATGATATGGTTCTGTGAAGGGAGATTCTTCTGGGGAATGTACTCATTTCACTAAGGGGTGGTCAGTGTGATCTCCTACATAGCAATCTTGCATTGTGTGTATTAATATGTTGCCCAATTTGAAATCGATAGTACAGTGGTGCCCCGCATAGCGATGTTAATCTGTTCCAGATTAATCGTCGCTATGGGGAAACATCGCTAAACGGAAAGGAAAAACCCATAGGAATGCATTAAACTTTGTTTAATGCCTTCCTATGGGGCCCAAACTCATCGTTCAGCGAAGATCCTCCACAGTGCCGCCATTTTCGCGTCCTCAGTAAGCGAGGGCAGGGCGCGAAAACACTTATGGTGGCAAGTTTGGGCCCCCAGCGGCCATTTTGGACCCGCCGATCTGCTGTTTAAAAAAACATCACAATGCGAAAATCGGCAAGCGAAACGCTTACCGATCATCGCGATCCGATGTTTTCCTATTCAGAACATTGCAATGCGATCGCATTAGCGATCTAAAAAATAGATCGCTATGCAGATTCGTCGTTAAACGGCGCACTCATTAAGCGAGGCACCACTGTATTACAGAAAGTGATAATTTACCTCTGGCACTGACAGTAATATACCCAACATGTAATCCTCATCAATTGCAATTACAATTGTACTCCATCAAAAATTTAGAAGTGACTGGTCACAAGAGAATTAAATGGTCACCAGTGGTAGATATGGCACTGACTCAGCTACTGAAGACTGAGGAATATATGAATGCCTGTAGCACCATTCTCACTGCCAGGAATGACACTGAGGCAATAAAGCTATTTCAAATCCTGACTCTAAAACATGGAGCACACCTAAAAATGCGGGCAACCTCTACTTATGCTTAATCCATCTCAGAAAATGTTTGTTAGTTGCAACGTTCATAAGCAGAAGCAAAATTTCCTGTAGGACTGCATTGAAAACCATTTAATCTGTTCCAGCTGTTTTTCGTTCTTATCTAGAGCCAAGCCAAGTCAAGCACCTTTTAGCTTTAAAAAAGGGCAGGAAAGGAGGGATGGGGGAGAGAGGGAAGGAAGGAACAATGGCGAAAAGAGGAAAGAAAGAGGGGCACACAGACCCCTCAGACAAAGGTTTGTGCTGTTAAGCACGAAAAGAGAGGAGAGAGAGAGAGAGAAGACAAGGGGGCAGAGCCTTGAGTCTACAGTAGACTCCATTTTAAAACTCCATTTTAAAGCCTGCCTGCCTGCATCAACAAGCACCACAGTTTTCTAATTTTAAAAGAGACAGACTTTGGAGCCACATTTTAAACACACATTTTAAAACAAAAGACAGGTCACAGTACACAAACCCTAGAAGCCACAGAATCCAGCAAGCGTTATTCCGGCGCAGAACTCCTCATCACAAAAAGAGAGTCTAAACTGCATTTTACAGCCTGCCTGCATCAACAGCCAGCACAGCCCCTCACAGAATATCTTCTGATTTTAAGGGAAAAAGACTGTGGAGTCTAAACTGCATTTTACAGCCTGCCTGCATCAACAGCCAGCACAGCCCCTCACAGAATATCTTCTGATTTTAAGGGAAAAAGACTGTGGAGTCTAAACTGCATTTTACAGCCTGCCTGCATCAACAGCCAGCACAGCCCCTCACAGAATATCTTCTGATTTTAAGGGAAAAAGACTGTGGAGTCTAAACTGCATTTTACAGCCTGCCTGCATCAACAGCCAGCACAGCCCCTCACAGAATATCTTCTGATTTTAAGGGAAAAAGACTGTGGAGTCTAAACTGCATTTTACAGCCTGCCTGCATCAACAGCCAGCACAGCCCCTCACAGAATATCTTCTGATTTTAAGGGAAAAAGACTGTGGAGTCTAAACTGCATTTTACAGCCTGCCTGCATCAACA